TTATATAGTTAGCTTGTTCTACAAGTTACCAATATGTGCAATACATGGTTAACTTGTTGACCAAGTTTCTAACCTATCAATCAATTATAAATATGTGTAAAGTCGAAATCACATCTATAAAGCTTGTCTTTAGAAGATATTATAATATTAATTTATTTTCATCTACTTCTACCTAATTATATAGATAATTATTAAAATAAATACCTATATCTATGACAATATGCTTTACAACTTTGACAACTTATAATTAATATCAAATAAAATGATGTTACACTCATTAGCCAATTTCTTTAAAAATCATAATATGAGGTAAAAAAATTGATGCTCAATTATTTGATCTTTAAATATTAAATTAAAAAATTAATTTTTTTGTGAAATATAACAATTGATTTTTTGAATTTTTAATCTAGAGTTGCACAAGTGAGCTTGAATGTTATTTTAATTTAATGAAAATACCAACAACTTTTTAACACATATATTTGAAAGTAGAAGATATATAAATTGATGCAAATATGCAAATTGATACACAATTCTAAGTACACAAAAGAATATAAACTTCTTATTTGTCATGTGTTACAAAAATTAAAAGATATAGGATTTTATACTAAAATAAAAAATAATAATAAAATAAAATATATATTTTATACTACTTCAATCAACTTCTTAAAATAAAACATTTTAAATGATAGACTCATGATAGATTCTAAAAAAATTTAAATCATTATGGATTAGAAGATCTTATAAATAATAAAAGATATTTAATATTTTTTGGAATTTTTCAATTACTATTGGATCTTCATCAAGAACTTCTCTTAAGTTATAGCTCCACTTACACATTTGACTTGTAAAGATAAACTTCACTAAAATCAAGAAGCCAAAGTAAAATTTAAATCTTTAAAGACAACTTTTGTTTTTGCACCAATCTTGTATCATATTATCTACTCTAAGCAATTCTTTATAAAAATAAATACATTAGATTTTTCTTTGAATATTATATTATTATAAATAGGAAAAAATAATAAAATTCTTTCAATAGCTTTTCATTTAAGAAAATTTTCAACAATCGAGATCAACTATGAGATCCACAATAAAGAATTTTTTGTATTTATAGATTTGCTTCAAGAATGATATTATTATCTAAAAAGCACTTTTAATCCAATCAATGTATAAATAGATTACAAGAACCTTATATATTTTATATCAACACATGTTTTGAATCATCACCAAATTCATTGAAACATGTCTTTGTCAAAATTTGAATTTAAGATCATTTATTGGCTAAAAAAAAAACAAAGTTTGTCATCTGTTCATCTTAGACAATCTTATCTTACACCAAAAGAAAGACATGGAATTTTTAATCAATAATAGATAATCTTCTTGAAGCCTAAGAAATTTCATCTTTTAGCAATGAAATCAATATTAACTATTGATTCAATTTTTTTTCAGCAAAGTCAATCAAATATGTCTTTTGATCTTATTGTTTGTGATATTAAGAAAATTATTCAAAATCTCATAATACTTCTAAATTTGAATTCAAAAATAATCTACTCTACTTCAAGGATCATTTATATATTCCAAAAAATAAAGCATGACTAGGAATTCTTCAAGTTTATCATCACTTCTCAACAATAAGATATTTTAGATATAACAAGACTTTGAAATTAATATCTGGAGATTTTTAGTGGATTCTAATGTGTAAAGCAATCAAAGATTTTTTACAATCATATGACATTTGTTCAAGATCAAAAACTCCTCATCATCAACCTTATGGATTTCTTCAACTATTATCTATTCCAAAACACCATAGTCTTATGTTTCTATAGATTTTATCATGGATTTTTTAGTCTCAAAATTCCTATGATTTTATATTTGTGATAGAAGATCATTTTACTAAAATGGCATATTTTATATTATGTACGAAATCTATCACATGTAAAGAAATAACTAAGTTTTTTCTTGTTAATATCTATTGCTATTATGGATTGCATAAAAATATCATATCAAATAAGAAGACTCAACTTGTATCAAGATTATAAAGAATTCCTTTCAAGATTTTAAAAGTAGACATGAAACTATCATTGGCTTTCCATCCTCAAATTAATAGACAAATGAAGTACATAAATCAAGTTTTAGAGTAATATTTGAGATGTATCATTAATTATCAACGAGATGATTGAACAATTCTTTTGCCATTGGTGGAGTTTGTTTATAATAACATAATATATTCTTCTATTCAATAAATATCTTTTTTTTAATTATAATTATTATCAAAAAATTGATACTTTTAACTTTTCAAAAAATAATAATCATATGATAGAAGATTAAATAAACTATTTATCTGAACTACATACAATAATGAAGGAACAATTAAAAAAAAAACTCAAGAACTAAAAAAAAATCAACATGGATGCCTATCACAAGAAACAGCTTTAATTCTACATTGGTAATAAGATATGGTTATTTTGTCATTATATTCAGATTTTTTGAGCTTGTGATAAGTTGGATTACCATAAACTTGAACTATTTTTTACATATAAAAAAAGTCAATCCAATTGATTATTGATAACATCTACCAAAATCTATGAAGATCCATTTCATATTCCATGTGTCTCTTCTTTAAGCCATATAAGACAATAAATATCACAAGAAAAAGATAAATATCATTATTTCTTATAGAAATAGATAATAATTAAGAATTTAAGATAAAAAGAATTATAGACTCTAAGAAATGCCAATTTAGGTTAAAATATATTGATCATTGGCATAGATATAATATTAGTAAATATGAAAGCCAATAAAATTTTTTACAAATGAAGCAAAGATATAACACATCTTTTAAAGAAACTTGCAATAAATTTAATTTAATTACTAATAATAATTTTTTTGACATGTTTATTAATTTAGTACCTACAAAGTCACATGCTTGGAATTAAATATCAAAAACCACAATCTAATGATTGTATTGGTATTTATGGTTCAAACAAAGTATTTTAAAAAATAATTATCTTTTAATTAAATTTTTTAATTTTAATAATGTATCAATGTTTGATTTATCATAATTAAATATTTAAAAATTAAATTATTTATTATTGCAAAGCACATAAGACTCTTTAAGCTTTAAAATTTTTAAATTTAAATTTAAAATTTAAAATATTTGATCATCTTATTTTTTATGCTTCTAACTTGAAAGAAGTAAAAGACTTTGTTGGAATAATAAGAGTAGTTATCAAAGTAAAATTTAAGAATAAATTAAAAGAAGATATTATATTTTTTTTGGTAAAATTGTTAATAAATTCATTGACCTCCAACCATATTATTTGCAAAAATAAATTAACAATATTGCTTATAAATATAAATTAGATAAGAAAATGTCATGCAATATGGAACATTCTATCAACAAAATAAAGTGAAAAATGAAAAGAAAACTACAAATTCATTTAATTTAAAAGCTAGAAAAGAAATAATGTTAATATGGCTCATATACAATAGATGCCTTGCAATTAATGTATGGAAAGTACAAGCAAACAAAGATATTTCTCTACTTTACTAAGTTTGCAACCTAGGCCTTGTAGAAATAGACATGCACAAATTTTGGGAGTGTTTGCAAGCCAAGAAAGCTTGAAATTAGGTCACCTCAATTTTGCAAAAGCTTGCCATTAGCTCCAAAAAAATTAAATCTTAGTCAATTTTTACTTGAAAACAAACAATATTAGTAAAGGACTACCAAATTTAGAAGACTTATAACTATATGCTTTCTTCTTTAAGACATATGTCTTTGGACAATTTGGAGGCAATGCAATGACTTATCTTTTAATGGTAAAATCTAAAATGATTAAATAATACATTTTGAAATCTAGCTAAAAATTTTAGACTATGGTAGAATAAAATAGAAACTCACAAAAAAAACAAACTGAGAAAGGAAACAAATAATAGCAAAGCCTTGCTCTACAGCTAGAATAGAACTTAGGTAGCCAAGTATATCCTTGGCACTAGACAATTGAAAACAATTGTGTGAAATTCAAAAATTCCTCATGTGGTATTATTATGCATGATAGAACTAATACTAACCTCTAAAAATATTTAAATAACCACTAGAAAATATGCTTCATTTGCCACCCAAGTCATTGGATTTTAGGTCCTTGAATACCTTGTACTTAACACACTAGTCAATGTATTGGGTACATCCCAACTGTGACAAAAATAATAATAATATTATTATTAATAATAGATGCAATCCTAATTTGATTATGACTCCTGTCTTTCTTGGGGAGTCCTAAACCCAAATAAAAGCTAGGGCCTACTTGAACTGAATACCTTTTGGTGATGGTCTTCAATGAGAACTTATTTTGGCATGTGCTCTTGTTCCAGATAAACCCATCTGATGCAGTTAAACATGGAGTGCAGATGGGTTTATCCACAAATGATTAACACAAATGAGTTAAACATGTCAATATTTTCTTCCAAAAGTTGGAGTACTTGAAGCAACATGAGCTTGGTGTTTGTAATGCTCCATGGGCCAGAGCTGCAGTGAATAGACTCTGGAGTACACAAGAAGCAAGCACTTGACAGCCCTGAAGCTGCAGAACCAGTTGATTTTTAGGTCAAAAAAAAAAAAGACTCATGACAAGGCTGTAGCCTCCCCCAAGCCTATTATACAGCAGGCAGTGTCTACTCAAAGGATCTTGGCTTTACATGATGCTTGTTCATTTGTTGGTGTTGCTAATGTCAGCTTCCGTAGTTTTTTCATAAACTGTCTTCCAGTAATAAATGTGGTCCAGAGAGGGAATGGTGGGTTTAGGTTAAAATAAAATTAATTATACTGTTTAACTGACGTACATGCTCAACTACAAGAAATGGACAGATGTCAATTCCAATTGGGCACCTGACTCACTGCAGCCAGTGTTTGGATATTGACTCACAGTTTGATGATAACACACACAGAAGTGACATTGGTGGGACAGTTACACTGCAGATGCTCACGATATATATATATATATATATATAACAAAAAGTAATTTTCACAAGGATTGTTTTCTTTTTTCTTTTTTCTATTAATCAAAAAATTGGAAGGGATATAGCAGGAGCACCCACATATACATCCCCAACTGCTTGCAAGCCTTGAATTGGTATGTACAACGAAAAAAACTAAATTATTGGCAGGCAATTTTTCTCTTCCAATGATCCCTCTGCCTTCGTACGAGGCCTCAGCAACAACGCCAGTAATATACACAACAAACCTGCCCATCAACTTAGTGTCAAAAAGAAGCTCTTCCTTCTACTTATCTACCTACATTCTAAGTGCTCTGATCTCCAGCAGCACTCACAAAATTGCCACAGGATCTGCCTTCCTCCTTCTCCGACCTACACAGCCTTGGTTCATATATTTTGCACAAGTATTCAGCTCCGGCCAAACTCTACTTCATGTGGGCTATCTCCAGTGCACAAAGTTTCGCTTTTATGGTATAGGCCAGCTCCCACTATCGCCAGATACTGAGAAATAACAATCCTCCAGCGCTATTGTTTATGGCATGATTCACACAACCATCGCAACTAAATCCAGGCCAAATGTTTCAATGAATCAATCACGACAAATGGTTGGAAGGTTGGCTCCGAGGTGGTGACATTGTTGCAGCGTTGCAACATCCCGATGCTTTTCGCCATAAATATTATGCATCTTTTCTCTGAGCTTGTGCTCTGCATTTGGCAATGACGACGTGTAGGACGCGCAGCTGTGAGAAGGAAGATCCGAGGAGGTAAGAATCGGAGGTTGCAGGAATATCTTGGTAGGGCCCAGCGTGGTCACGATCTCTCCAGGAAAAAACGTTCGTGTCGCTCTCCTCCCATAGCCGGATGAAATTTGTAAGCGTTGGTCAGATATTCTTCCCACGTAAAGGGGCGATACACTTGCGGCTGCTCAGTGGTGATGAGCTCCGGAGGGGCTTCAACTATTGCACTCAAAGGAGGATTCAAAAAACAGGCCAGGGAGAGACGCTTTGACGTGCCGTTCACCACTGCTCTGTGGAGCACACTTCTGTACCGAGTATTGCTCAGGACCTGCAATCCCAGGAGTTGTTGAATATCAGTGATGGGCAACAAAGCACGTTAAGCCCTCGAAAGAACTGATTCCTAACATATGGTGGGGTACGAAATACTGAGTATCGAAGAATCCAAGTAGGAGTGCCTGCATACCTGAAAGAGATCTCCGACATTGACGACGAAGCAGTCGGGACAAGGCTTGACAGTAGTCCACTCGTCGTCGATGTACACTTGAAGCCCCGCAATCTCGTCTTGGTGGAGGATGGTGAGAAGGTGGGGGTCGGTGTGAGCTCGCAAGCCGATTGCAAGCTCAGGCTGGGGACACGGAGGATACAGGTTGAATCGCATCGACATCATGCGCTCGTTCTCCACATAACGGTTAAATCGAGTGGGTTCTAATCCTAATCCTTCCGTGAGAAGCTCCAGTAGCTGCCTCGCCAGTGTCTCGATTTGTCCCATGTACTCCTCAACTGTGGAACTGCACATGACCAGTTGTGTAAGCGGTGGATCAGCGAACAGAGCCCCATTCGGCTAAACATCTTTGCAACCTTGCAACGAATAGACCAGAGGGCAAACCTGAATCTGGTAGGGTCGCTTTCGGCGAAGAGCTTCCCAGAGAATTCTTTGATGTTGGATTGGGGATGCAGCTGCATGTGGAAGCTTTCGGCCCAGTGCATGACCGTTTGGTTGATCCAAGTGTTGGCTCCGTAGCCGAATGAGGTGCCGGGCGGGCGGTGGACACGCTCCTTAACGTCCAGCGGAAGCTCAAACATCTTGTGCGCTTCCATCTCGCACCTGTGAATCAGGCTCTCGTCCACGCCGTGATTCACCACCTGGAAGAAGCCAAACTTCTCGCATGCCTCCGCGATGTTGGCCACGAGAGAGGCTCGCTGCGCAGGGTCAGAAGAGCTCAAGACCGACATGTCCACAATGGGAATCGAGGCGCTGGTTGCGAGCGTAGGCCCGTCCATCTCCAGCATGGGCCGCTGGTCCTCAGCCTCGACGAACATGGCCGGCAGCTGGTGCGTTTTGTGTACCAGCGCTGATAGCAAGCTTTCATTGCGCAACTTCGTACTGGTGTTCGCCAGCACCGCGGACAGATCTACTGCATTGTGTGCGTGGGACGGTATGGAGTGCGCGGCCATGTAAGGCTCCGTTACTCCTCCTCAATGGTCGACCTCTTGGATTAATTTCACCGCCACAAACGACTTGCGAGCAACTAATTATTGGCCTGATACAATTTTCCTAATTCTCTTCTCCCCACTTCCGCGATGCTTTTGTACCATCGACAGCAGGAATCGCTTCTGATTTCAGCTGCGAGTACTTTGTCAAATTTTACTATAAATGGCAGAGCAGAGATGGCGAAGAAACGCTGGGACTCTACAATCAGGAGCCGAGGTTGAGATGATCGAATATACGAAAGAGGCGGTAGAACAAGTCCTACAATACTAGTGCATCGCTTTAAGGGAACGCTTCGCTACGGATCCCAATCCAATGAATTCACTTTATTCACGTCGCCACTCTATCTTACACGTTCCACTATCTTTGTAAATGACATCCACACAAAAGTACGCGTCTTCGAGAGTGAAAACTGGACGTCACCACGACCAACAGCTGCAACTAAAAGCACGGGCTGAGATGTCGACAAGTTATACTCGCCAGGTCAAGCTGACCACGACTCATTCCCTCGCTTCCAGACCAGACCACAAAACAATGGGATCTTGTTGTTGGCTGTGCTTGCTGCTTTCTATCTCTCAAACCCCTCACCCCCCTCCTCGTCCTCTCGGCTCGAATGACCCGATTCCACGACAATCATGCGCTGCACTACTGTGTAGTCTCTCCAGTATTCACCCCAATCTCAGCCTCGCCCAAAACAAGAAAGCTCACAGGCATTGCATGCGAGGATCTGAGGGCACAAAACTCGAAAATGCCGCTAAAGGTTCATGACCTGTGCTGCGGAGTACAAGCGAGCCTTCCTCCCCGAAACAAAAGCACAGGAGATTGCGTAGTTCCAGAGGCTTTATACAGATTCTACACAAGTTGAGTTCACTGCGTAAAAACGAATAAACAATTTAATTAATTAATTGATGAACAACATTGTGATTCGGAAGCACAGACGGGTGCCCCCTGACTGTGGCACGACTTCGGACTAGCACCCCGCGGCTCGACGATTTTGTGTCAGAGAGCAGCTCATGCCCACGACTTGTTCACCGAATCAGCGTGCAGGAATTTCCCTCTCGCGGCCTGTCTCGCGGACACACAAGTGTGATCGGTCAAATGGAGCTCCGCGGAACCAGCACCATCGGTCCCAGTTTCGCTGATTCATGTCCTTGCTGTGTCTGGTTGGGGCTGTGCGGCCCTCGGGATGTGGGCATTCTTCGTAAGTAAAGATTCTATAATTATCTGCTTTTAACCGCATCGAGAGGTGATTCAGCCGTCAAGGAACCTTTCCACACACTCCCCTCCGGCACGAGCGGATTACCTAACTGCCCTAGCGCGCAAGGGCCGTTGCCCCCACCCGATTTGGCTGGACAACCCCTGAGCTCTTCCCGGATGCAGATTGCGATGGAGATACAACGGCATTCATATTTACCCAGCCAATACCCAATTGCCTACAGCCCCTATTTTTGGATCCTCAGCTCCTTCACTCCTCCGCAATATGAATCCGGAGTCCACGAAAAGCAAAGTTAGCGTGGCTTTGTGCCGAAAGCGGCACAAGCGACGGGCTTGGTCCATTTCTCAGGGTGCAGGATAAGTCTTTCGTCGCTTGGCAGCTCCTGAGCATTGATCGACAGATCCTGTATGCTTCGAAATACTCTTCGCCAAACACAAACTCCAATATTCAAAATACGCTTCAAATAACGCAGTAAAGTGGTCCCGCTTGGAACTACTTTGGCGTATATTTCCACGACAAACTTGGCTTCGCAAGATTTGTTGCGAGAATCCTGTGTGATTCTTCATTATGTCACATTCTCATTCCAGTGTGGCAGACAGCAGTACAAAGTTGCACAAATGGGTGAATTTTATTACTTGGTAAAATAACGCTTCAAACTAATCATATCAATCAGAAGGTTTTTCTTCTTTGGAGAGTAATCTAACCTTCGATTCAGTTTATGAGCTATTTCGCACTGTAGAACTCTGTCAGAACTCCATTACATATCAACTCTTCTCTCGTGAAAATGATTCTATTCAAGTTCTACTCATGGTGTGTTTCAACACACCTTGATTGTGCAAAAGCACAAGGAATATTTCTCTAAATTTAAGCTCCATCTAGAACAATTATCACTACTACTATTATTCCGTTGTTCTTTAAAAATATGCTGTATTCACAGATGGATCCAATGCTTTTGCTGCCCTAAGAAGAAACAAAAAATGCCACCTATTCTGAAACATGATCCTCCATCAAACTTAGCCAACATCGTCTCTTGCTTTCGTTTCTACTTTCCACTTTTCAAGGGTGGTAATTAGATACACCCTATTTTGTGACACAGTAGGGATATTGTTGTTGAATGCATTAAAAGCATTGTGGATCATTGACTCAAAATAGACCAAACTGACTTCAATGAAATTTTGCCACCAACACCAACAAAATCCTTTGTCAGCAGTGTCTATGAACATGGGTGATAATGCTGACCAGGTTTAGGGACAGGTTATCAAATATAGAACTAAAGCAAACATATAATTAATTAATTAATTAGTAAAAGCGAGAAAAAAATGCTATGTAGAACCACTTTTTTTATTCTTGAGAATTGTTACATGTAACTAGAGGGAGAAATTTGTCTCAAGAAACAGATTCAATTGCCTCCAAATGCAAAGACCATGAAAGAGGAGAGTCCAAATGTGGGAAATCAACCATCCTTAAAACACTGAATCAGATCTTTCATTTATATAGCTAAATCATTTGCTTGTGCTTTAATTGGTTCTCAACATGGATGAGTTGAAGTTCCAGCATACACAATATGTGCATTGTCTTGAGCCATGAATTATGATACAAAAATTCTGAACTCCCATATATCCACATGTACACCTACACCCATATACACATGTACACCCATATAAACACATATACACATGTTCACCCATATGCACACATATTCACACATTTACACATGTACTCCCATATACACACATATACGCATATATTTGGGTCTCCATGTCTTGATCAAATATAGCAAAAGTGCCTGCATGGACCAATACTATGTGATAACATTCTTGCCACACAACCCACCTAACAATGGATTGGACTATTCCATTACCAAATTTGCATAGAGTCTATTGTCCACCTTGGTATTGTGCCAAGCTTATCACAAACACTTCATCCTTCACCTGTCTCATAATATATGCTTGGTTTAAGTTTTGCTGCAAGCCACCACAAATTCATTTGATCAAAATATGATAATTCTAATAAAAACTTACCAAGTTTTGATTATATGGTGCATCTTTTGTGTACAAGATAGCAAGCTTGCTACATGATATAATACAAAATTTGATTAATAAAAATTGCACATATATATATATATATATATATATATGTGTACTGAAAATACATAGCCAACTATAAGAATTGAAGAAGTCAATTTTCATAAAGAAAGGCCCATTGTAGGTATGGTTATGAATTTTTAATTGTGTTAAGTCTTTTTTAAAAAACATCATACAGTTTCTTTTCTTTTATTTTTAAATACAACATGTAGGTTAACACATATAACACGAGTAATCAAGTGACTAAGAGAAATAAATAAATCATGCATTGAGAACAAGAAAGTATATCTTACTTAGAAAGAATAAGGATAATGGAAAATAAATGAATTTCATGCTCTTTTCTATGTAAAAACACATCCACGTGAGAAAATTTGATCAAATCCCTGTAGATTCCAAAACCTCAGAATTCACTTCAAGTAAAGTTCGAACTACTATTGGAAAATTGGTTAGATCGATGATGCAGCTCCAATACACAACTGGGTGTAAAAGCTAACGAACCAACTTGAGATATGGCTTACTAAAAGTGAAAACAAGAAACCATATTAAATAACATACATAACCAACTGAATGAATGAATAAACGGATGAATGTATGGATGAATTTATGGATGAATGAATGGAGAGAGTACAATAATTAAAGAATGATGGGGGGGTGGCGAAGGGCGGCAGTGACAGAAAGAGAATCAATATCCGCTGAGCTGGAAGATGCCCCTCTCGTAGGATTGCAGTAGTAGTGGGGTAGAAGTGGAAGTAGTAGAAGGCGGACATATAGGCAGGCAAGCAATGCGGGAGTGGAGGTAGAGGGGAGCATGGTCCCTCCTAGGGATGTCCGCCTAAGTTTATACACACCTAGTACTACAGAGCACAATGCTATTCCAAGCAAAAAGAGAAGAGCCCATCTCCTCGCGCTGGCCCCACCATTACCTGTGCCCGTGCCAAGGATGGAAACGGGGGGAGGTCCGTGCAGAAGAAGAGAAATGGTGGGGAATGGCGGCGAAGGTGAGGACAAAGTGGGGCAGGGACAGGGGGGACTGTTCCTATTGATACTATATATATCCCTCTCTTAAATATAGCTGGAGCTACTGCTACTCCCTCTACCACACTTGAGCCCATAACCGTGGGGTTTTTTTCTTTCTACAGCTGGTAAAACCAACTGGCCCTCGTTTTCTATCCTCCTCACCCTCCGGTCCACTCTTCCATTGACACGTGACTGATCTGGTGATCACTCTGGCTTGGTCTCAGGTGAGTGTTGGGAGCTGATGAATGAACGAATGGATAGATGTTCTATTTTCATCCGAATATTTGGATGGCACTTGCATCATCCAAATAATGGATGATCGGTGGTTTGGACTTTCAGACTATTTTGTTGGTTTTTTAGACTTTTTTTTACTTTTAACTTTTTCTCTTTTATTTATTTATTTAATTTTCCCTTCTTCTTCTGTACCATGACCGTGGTTGAGAAATTAATTGAGATTTGATTCATGCATTCAAGAATTTCAATCTTAAAGTAATGTGAGATTTAATATTTAGAAATATATGCTCTTGAGTGGAAATACTTATTACTTTTATTTATTTTTTATATCGTGTATTTTGAGATTTCAACAATAAAAAATAAAATCTGACTTGAAACTAAGTTATATAAGTCTATGTAAGATTCCATTATGGCACACAAAGGCATTATTTACCATAATCTAGATTCTTCTCTTTTATACCTTTTTCTTTATTTTGACATAGTTTAAGATTTATGTATGTATGTATCTATGATTTATAATTAAAATACATGATCCATCAAATTGATTAAAAATCTTACATTAAAAAATCTTACTTAAATTCATTTTTGTAGATTAGGATGATCAAGTAAATCTAAGAATACATCAACAATCCAACTTGTTTATATTTGTAAAAAGATTATCACACATAAAAAAGATAATAGATATTAATTGAATATTTTTGAAACTTTGATATATTATAAAGTATAATTAGTTGAATCCATGCTATTTTCACAAAAAATATACCAGAAATTAGTTAATTTTGTTATCAAATTTATAACGGCATGTAATCGACTTCTATATTTCACACTTTGTAGTGTATCAAGTGTTGTGGTGCACCTAGGTGTACTTTTGACCTTGACATGATTTGGCCAAGACACTAGTGGACATTCACTTTGAGTCATTAGCCACCGTCTAGCTATTTATAACACCAAATGATGAATTGTATCAAAACCAAGTACTATTATAAACTACTAATCTAATACTTATTAAAGATAATACACCTTCAAAGCTTTGCATGAATCCATCCCAAAATGTCAAGTTCATGAGCATGATTCAAATGTCTCTATGAAAATCTTCAACATCAGAATCATAGAATTTACTAATAATAGTATATTTCAAAATAAAATTCTTGACAAAGACTATAGAAGAAAGCACATACTTCAAACAATAAACTTGAATTTTACTTATAAAAATACAATGATTTTCCTCTCAAACAGACAACAATCTTATTTATCAAAATTTGTTTGGGCATTATAATAAAAATATATTATTAAATCATAATAATATATGCATAATGACTTTGTTGCAAGGTTAATAGGCTCAAACTATCAAGTCCTCTAATGTAATGTTTTTAGAAATCTTTGTTTGAA